AGACAGGAATCTTACTAATATCCAAATTGTCAGGATCAAAATCTGGAGTCCACTGTTTCAAAATCAAAGGGTGCCCATTAAATGTCCATCGCCTCTCTAGCACCGCCTGCTTTGCATCTCCATTACCAAAATCAAACAAGAAGACTCCATTTCGCAGCATAAATGCCTTAAGCACCTGGAATTCCCTCCACCTGTTATTCAAAAAATTAGCAACATCCTTAAAATCAGGTTTAGATCCCAGAACATACCCAACTAGAGCATTCTCCCAAATCTTTGACCCTTTAACCCACTCATCCTCAGTAATAACCACAGCACCAGTTGGATCTTGAGGTTTTATGTATTGAAAATCCCAACCTTTACTGATATCCCTATTCCTTTCCACAACCGAAGCCCAACTACACAGTGGCTTTTGCTTTAGGGATGGTTGAAATTCCCCTTTTTCCTTCTCAATCAGGTCACTCCACCGAGCCCTAAGAGACATCGTCGTACCGAATGTAGAAACAGCGTCCTTTTCCCCAGAAGGTTGCTTCATCTTGATGACAGAAGGCTGAGTCTCCGAGTGCATTTCCTACTTCCCTTTCACTCCTTTCCCTTCCTCGGGGCCGACCTCGCTCTTCCCCTTATCTACTCTTCCATCCCTGGGACCAGCATCGAATCTGCTTTCCCTTTGGCCTTGCGTCGAAACTGCTAGATCTAGCGAAATTCCTTCAGCGTCCCCTTCTTTCTCCCCTAGATCTGGACTCAAACGCCCTGATTCCTCAATTTCGAGACCCATCTGGTTTGGATTGCGAGCAACAAGCTTCACGACCTCAGTTTGCTCTTTGTGGGTTTCCTCAACTGAGATGCTATTTTGCTCCCCTTTATCATCTTTCAGATCAACTGTTTTTGTTGCAGCGCCACCCTTAGGCAGTGAATCTTTCTTTCTCGGCCGGCCTCTGCCACCCATCTCTGGCGTTTCCAACTAATCCACCACGCTCGCAAACGAGAGCATGGTTGACAGAGATTTGTTGGTTCGACTCTTGTTGGTCTGTCCTTAGTACATAACTAAAAAGGACATTTGTCTGTGAATTGTTTTAAAATGTTGCAAAACAAAGAGTGGTGTTTTGTAAAATGAGTTAATACTTTCATTGGACAACTCCAAGAATTTTAAAATCACAAAGATGAATAAAAAGATTACTAATTATAAACTAAACACTATCCTAAAATAATTAACTAAAAACAATACGGAAACAGCATGCTGTCAAGATAAATTCGTAGACACATAACTGGACAAACTTACAAACTATGCCTAAAATCTTATAAACCATGATGAATTTTAGAAAATCAACTTTAGAAAAAACCCCATAAATTAACAACACTTCCAGATTAACCTAAAATCAATTAAACTACTTAAAGATCTAATGCTAAATTAAAGTAGAACACAATCTAATAGCTAATTAATATGAGATTTGGAAAATTTCAAACTAATTCGGGCTTCAAAAACAAAAGAAAATAGTCTGAAGATGATAAATTTCAACATGAACAAAGGCATGGAGGAAACAAACATTCAACCCAATCAAATAAACACATAAAGGAGTAGAATCCATTGAAAATTACTAACCAAATTAACAGGCAAACCTAAGGAGCAAGGCTTGTTCACTTCCAAAGTCTTAGATATCAACGGCAAGATGCAATCTTCAAATAAATCTCAAATAAAACGAAAAGATTCAAACTAAAGTTATGAACAAGAACAGGTCTTTAAATTTTAATCTAGAAATTTGTAAATTTGTGCACTAGGTTGGTTGATGAAATTTGGAAATGTAAAATTACAGTGCACTAGGTGATTTTCAAGAGGGACAGACCTCCAGAAACTAATTTTCCTCCTCTGTTTTCCTCTTCTTCAATGCTGGGATGGTTCCTCCATGAATTTCGTCCTCTTCCCGTTACGATTGAGTAGTGGCTGCTCCATGTTGAATTGCAATTTTCTTATGTTTGGCGGTTGGGAATTTGATTCCCCCATTCAACACAAATAAACCCTAACGTAACCTTCTCCTAAAAACACTCTTACTTCCTAATTTGAATAAAACTCAATTAATTAAAGAGATATGCTTTATCCCTTGCCATGTGGCACCAGCCCACCCTTCAACTCTGTCTAGGTTGCGAATTTTACAACAAGCCCACTCCAAATTAGCTCTAAAGCCCCACTGACATGGCAAAATTTTGTCCAATGGCTGGACCCAATGTAACACGTGGCATTCTTCTATTGATTTTTATTTTAGGTGTAAACAAATTAAAAGTTTAAAATAATTTATGTTTTTAACTATACTACCTTTAAGAAAAAAATAAGAATAGAGAAAAAATTTTGATAAGATTGATAATTAAAATAAAATATAACAATATCGTTAAAGACTTAAAAGCTTAAAGCTAAGTTTGAAGAAATTATTTGTCTATCTTAAAAATCACAACTAATTTAAAATAAAATTTTCAATAAAAAAAACACAACTATTATTGTGGGATGAATGAAGTAAATAGGAACAAAAAATGAAAATATTGCATAAAACAATTTCAGTTTTTCCCTTTAAAATGAAATTTTATGAGCACTCAAATTACATTGCATAATCATAAGTTGAGATTAGTGTTTATTAGTCGTATTTCTAAAAAAATATTTAAAAAAATTTTAAAATTATGTCATTTTAATAAAATATTATAAAAAAATCAAAACACTCATCCTTACTCTAAACATAAATTTTTTTTTATTCTTTTTTAATAAAAATTTATCGAAACAATATAATTTTTTTAAAATTTTTTAGATATGTAACTAATAAATATTTTTTTCTTATAAGCTTATCTCATGAAAGTTAAGAGGTCTTAATTTGTTGTTACATATATCCATGATATAGCAGGATCAAGTTTGAAGCCAAGTGATATGAACCTTTTTCTTTTTTTAATCAACTAAAAATGAAAATATTGTTAAGAGGAGTACAATGTGTACAATGAATACTCTAATCGGGACAGCGAAGTGAAAATATTTTTGGAATTGATTTTTTTTATCCTTCTTGGTAAATGATTTATTTTATGAGTTGATGAATATGTTATAATTGTCTTCAACGGAAAAAGGGACCATAAAATATGGAAAATTGAGAAACGATTGATTATTTGATGGATGAGTGTTAGGAGCACACTAATTGACATTTACTTAATTTGAGGACCACTATCATCCTAACCTTATTTGACGGATGATTACTCTAACCCACTACATTCCATGACATATTTTTACTTCAACATCATATGATATATATATATATATATGTAACATTTAAATTATGACATTCTACTTTTTCTTTTATGAGAGCTTGTTTTTATTGGTGTAAAATCTATCATTCTTAAAGATATCTGATGGCAACGGAATATCTCAAAAGAAAGAGCAACAGGTCAAAAAGAATTTCTCACATTATTGTATGAATTTATCAAAAAGCAGGCAGCCAGTCAACCAACAAACTACTACCTAATTAGCATTATTAGATTTGTGACTATTAGACTTCTGATTTTTTACCAAAAATATGTCAAATGCACCAATTTCATGCCTTCACTAGTGAAAATCATGGACAGGTTATGGATTTTTAACAAACACAATTCATACTTATATATATATATAAAAAAAAAAAGAGGTTGTAATAATGTAATAATTTGATTAAATAAAATAATTTTTTCTTCCCTCCACTCTTCTTTCATTTTTTTTCTTAATTTTTCTTAAATCGAGCAGATGCTAATGCATCTTGAATATTTAAATGACAGAATTAATTTGCTTCAAACTTTTAGTTAAAATAAGACAACTATTGTAGGACATAGTCTTAGAAAATTTTGTATTAAATTGACTTAAATATGCCTAAAAAGTAACAAGACCTATAGTATTGTAAGCTAAAGTTTCATTGATAGAGATATAGTATTATTTTCATGTATATAGTATAAAGGCAATACACTTTTATTTAAAAAGTAAAGAAGGTAATACTTCAAGAGGTGATTTAGTTAAGAATTTAAACTTTTTAATTTAAATTTTGAATCAAATAAAGAAATTTTTTTTAAAAAAATTATCTATTTTTATATAAAATATTATTATTAGATGTATTAAAAAAAAAAAAAGGGCCAATCCACAGTATAATATACAAATTCAACATATTTAAGCATAGTATACACGAAATAAGAAACGCTGCTGCTATGGGGACCGCACGGTTAGGGATGGCAATTCTCTCTGTTCCCTGCGAGGTCTCACGAGGATCCCCGCCACGGGGATGGGGCAGGGACGGGGATCATTTTCTCCCCGTGAAATTTCACGGGGAATTTTCCCCACCCCGTGGGGCCCCACGAGGATCCCCATCCCCAAAATAAAAAAAAAAGGTTTTTATTTTAAAATTAATTTATTTTTTAAACTCAAACCCAAACCCAAACAAAAACCCAGATTTAATCCAATTACAATTAAATTTAACCCAATACTATCCAACCCAACCCAACTCCCAACCCTACCCAACCCATTCCCCTACATTTAACCCTAACCTTAATTTATTTTAACTCCCATCACTCAATCTCTTTAACTGCAGCTTCACACATCTCTCACGTCTATCTCACCTTCAGTTTCCCTGCTGTTGCTGCTGCTGCTGCTGCTGCCACCGGAGTCATCTGCTGTTGTTGCCGAACCATCTGCTGTTGCTGCCGGACCATATGCTGCTGCCACCACCGGACTGATCTGCTCTGCTGCTGCTGCCGGCTGCCACCACCGAACCCATTTGTTGCTGTTGCTGCAGGAGCCATCTGCTGTGCTGCTGCTGTAGGAGCCATCTGTTGCTGCTGCAAGAGCCATCTGTTGTTGCTGTTGCAGGAGCCATCTACTACTGATGCTGCTACTGCCACCGGAGCCTGCTGCTGTTGCTGTTGCTACTTCCACTAGGGCTTGTTGCTACTACCGCCACCGAGGCCTGCTGCTACTACCGCCACCGGAGCCTGCTGCTGCTGCTGCCGCCGCCGCCAAACAACCTAAGCCATATGCTTTGCTACTGTTGCCGGAGTTATTTGATGTTAATTGGTGGGGAACGGGGATCCCCGTAGGAAACGGAGACGGGGGTCAAAATCTACCCCCCATCAAAAATCTCCGCGGGGATCCCCGTCCCCGTCATTCGCGGGGCTGGGGACCCCTTCCCCATCCCCGTCCCCGCGGGGCTCCGTTGACATCCCTACGCACAGTCCCTTAGGCCGTGAGAGGACCGATGGTCCCTACAACTTTTGGTTTTTATTTTTTAAATCATTAACATTTTCATTTTTTTAAAAGTTTTTATTAATTTTAAATTTTATATTTTAGTTCTAATTACTTTTTATTCTCTACAGTAAACCTTAAATATTGAACTTAAAAATATACTTAAAAATTTTAAACCCTAACCCATTAAATACTAAATTCTAAACCCAAAAAAAAAAAAAAAAAAAAAAAAATCATAACACAAAAATTAAACCCTACA